TGACATTTTAATAACTTGTAAAAGTCTAATACTATTATTTTTATTTGGTTATATATATATATATATATATTTGGTTATCCGATATAGCTAACTTTGAACACTACAAACTACTCTAAATTGTGTTCATTTTATTCTCCTCTGCTTTCAAATTGTTAACTTTTAACTAATAGTAAATAAAAAATAATTTTACAATATTCGTAAATTTATTTGACATGCTGTTTTTTAGTAACGATTTTAAGTAAAGTATGTTAAACAATTTTAGTACAAAACAATGTATTTAGCCATTAGTCTTAACATTTAAAGATTTTTTTATGTAACTTAAATGATTTTATAATATATGATTAATAATATGATTAATAATTATATACTAACCTATGATCAAATACAAGTACACGAAAAAAACAAATAAAACATTAAATTCAAACATTATGAGCAGATGTATGAACAATTACTATGACAATTGAACTTAGAATGACGAAGTATGTTCAAAACCTTCGCGGGCGTAAATTAGATATATATTATTATTTCAAACCAAGAAATTTTCTTTATCAATCATTTTGCGCAAGCGCACTGGAAAATCAGTGATACACAAAAATAACAATAAAAATCAATTAATTAAATCAATATATTTAATTTAATTTAATTTAACTACTTGATTAATTCATAATATTAAACATAAACAAAAATAAACACCTTTATGAAATCATACATGATATTCCTCTATTACACGTGAATTAATATCTAACCTATTTACATTTGTTATTTTTAAAACATTTTTTTTCTATAATATTTAAAACTATCTTCTGAGCTAATCGAACTTGATTTTAGCACGTCATCTTTTGATTTCTGAAACATACAAAATAATATGTTTAGATAATAGTGTTATATGTAATACAAACCTATTTTTCGATTTTGTCATAAAATATGTACAATATTATCTTTACTAATACCTATAAGTAATAACTATCTAATACTTCGTGGAGTTAGTGAGTTACCCAAAAACAGATAACTGACAATGGATTTACKCCTTCTTATGAAGATTATAAGCTGCGCTTTCTGACTGTGGCTAACATACACAATACATATAAGAATTTAGACGTGTTTTTATTCCAACGTACYGATTTATCTATAGTGAAACATATGAAATCTAAAAATGAAGTGAACTTGTTTTCAAGTATTTTTAAGATCGACATTTCAACATTTTTTATTTATCCCCCTAACTCCCTAAAAAAAGAGTGCTTAAAAAAATGGAAGATTTAAGTATTCAAAGAAGTTAAAATCTAAAAATCTGATCCCAAGTACAGTGGACCAAAACTTAAAATCTGTTTTTATAATTCATATCGTTTTACTATATCCATTGGTACATTGAGTAATAACATACCTAAATTCCTTTGTTGCACAAGTGTTAGACAAAAATAGAAAATCCCGCTTCCAAACCTAAACTGCAGAKATTTTTAACAAAATTATTTGAGTTGTTTTGACCAAATATAAATAGAGGTCTAAAATTACGCTCAATTTATGGTTATAAATATTTTATTTTCTGCAACAAATGACAATAGAATACATACAAAAAAATATTCGTTTTCATGAGCAAACAAATCCCTGAGTGATCCTCTCCGGGCCATTCTCGGGATTGCCTATATGCGTACCAATTTCAGAACCATARGTGCGATAAACTTGGATTGATTTGAGCTGTAACTTTAGAGTTTGGACTGTGTCGTATAAACCCGAGGATGTGCACCACGGAGCCATTTTTTTTWAAATTTTGTATTTCAAGTAGGAGCATCCATGGGGAGCTAATTTTTTCTCAAGAAATCGAATATTTTTTTGTTAATTTAAATGTTTACCTTTAATTTTAGATAATATTACTATAGAATGAGTAAAAATAAATGACACATAGGTACCTAGGTTAACAGTTTTTATAGATACATTTTTAAAAATAACATATCTTAAAATCAAGTACTCATAATAAGCACAATTACAAAAATTACTTCTATGATTTGCAATTAAAATTGTTTATCTTAATATTCTCGATATGTTTTTTTATGTAAATACATGAAAAAACATACCTGCAGGCTACAATCAACATTATTGGATTTACTATTTATGATATATTTCAATCCTTTATTTAACTCATTCCCAGTTTTTTGTACTATCGTACAGAACTAAAAAGTGGAAAATCATAAAATTAGTTTTTGTAATTTGTAATTATATTTTATTTCGTACTTAAACTGAAAAAAAAAATGAATAACGAGAGAAATAGATTGATAGAATATAAAATGAATTTGGTAGAAAAAATGACAAGTGAAAAGGGAGAATTAATTTTAATAGTTAATAAGTTTAAATTTAGCTACCATAAGCTTCTCCAAAATGCATTTAAATGATTCAAATGTACTAAACGAGGA